GTATAATATCTTTTATATTCTTCCTCAACAATATTTATTCATCTTCAACAAGATTTTTCTGATCATGCCTGTCATGAGAGCAACTTTATCTCACATCGCTGACAGAAATCAAGAGCCTGGCCAAGATGATGGACAAGTGGTTCAACAACCATGTCCATCGACAGACATTTTTGATGATCTCTTGCGAGGAATCATTGATCCTAATCTCCCATCTTTGGTTCAAGTTATTCGGGTCTTGCACGAGAATCAACAAAGAACTACTCATCTTCTCGCCAACTTGCAAGCTCAACATACTCTGCAGGACCCAGCGGAACCAACCAACATGGTTGGGACGTCCCAACCACAAGAGGTTCAAGCTGGAGCTATTGATGGTACTAGGGGCTCTGTTGCATGGCTAAATAACTCAGCATCACTAGTAATTGCAGTCGCTAGCACCGTTGGAGCTCTACCCAATGCAGCCAACTGTACTCGAGGCTTCATCAACATGGCAGATCTTACTACTCTCTTGGACAAGGAGCGTTCCAGACAAAGTTCAACCATTTTTCAGTTCATCCATGATCCACCATACCCAAAGGAGATTTTGTCCAAGCCTTTATTCATGAGGTATATTTATTAACTAAAAAATAAAAATAAGACTTTTTTATGATAAGATAGATAATTAATTAAAGTCAAGAAATAATATGAAAAATATAAAAAATGTGATTACTATTCTCAGATAAATTTTATAAATTAAAAATATTAATTATTTTTGGATAAAAGAAGTACAAAAAAAAATAATAATTAGGCGGCACAATAATTTGCTAGAATTTAAAACAGAAAAATATACTGTACATTTTTGTTTTCGTTTTGAACCTTAAATTATTTATTCTTTATGTTTTTGCAAACCATGGTTCAAGTAAATAGCCCCAAATTCATATTTGTTTCCTTATATTTATTTTGGCTGCCTAAAAGGTTTATTTTTGGTCAAACTTGAATTTGTAAAATTATAATTAGACACAATGTAATCATAATTTTCTTAGCTAACGCTATGTCATTAAATAAAATTAACTAACTCACCACTAATTGTGAGTTAACTGTTAGTGACCAACTGGCAGAAGGTTTAAATGGTCTAGTGACCTCTGCAGTGGAAAAGGACTTATATAAGGGAGTGACGGTTGGGAGTGGAGGTGATAGGGTGACACACTTACAATTTGCGGATGATACCATACTCTTTGAAGAGGCAACAGATGACAACATTTGGACAGTCAAGGGTATTATGAAAACTTTTGAGCTGGCTTCAGGTTTGAAGATCAATTTTGGGAAGAGCCAATTAATGGGGGTAGGGGTAGAGGAGAGTTGGAGGGCTAAGATGGCATATAGATTGTGTTGCAAAGAAGGGGAACTCCCATTCAAATATTTGGGAATTCCTATTGGTGGGAACAATAGGAGGTTAGTAATGTGGCAACCAATGATAGAATCCTTTAAAAAGAAACTATCCAGCTGGAAGGGTCGGCATCTTTCCTTGGGAGGTCGTATCACGCTCATCAATTCAGTGTTATCAAGTCTACCCATGTTCCTAATGTCAGTCTACTTAATCCCAAAAGGTATACTCCATCCCATTGATAAAATTTGTAGACACTTTTTATGGGGTGGGGGAGGGGAAGAAAGAAAAATAAATTGGGTAAGCTGAGAGAAGGTGTGTAAAAAAAGAGAGGATGGAGGGTTAGGGGCGAGGGATTTGAGGAAGTTTAACTTGGCTTTGATGGGAAAATGGTGGGGAAGACTAGCAAAAAGACAATAGGGATTATGGAAGAAAATTATTGCTGGACAATATTGCAAAAGGGGGAGACATTGGTTGGATTGGATTATGGAAAGTAGAGGAGTAGGCTCACTATGGTGGAGAGATGTGTGCTCGCTCAATAATATGGATATGGAGAGTGTAGGATGGCTAATGGAGGGATTTAGGATAAAGGTGGAAAAGGGAAATACAGTTAGATTTTGGTGGGATAATTGGGTTGGGGAGGGAAGTCTTGCTAACAAATTTCCTAGGTTGTATATTGTATCAATAGGAAAGGATAACACATGCAACCAAATGGGTAGTACAAGAAACGGATCACGGGAATGGAAGCTGTCATGGAGAAGAAATTTGTTCGATTGCGAAGATGAGGAGGTCACGAAACTTCAGAATATGATTGAGGACGTGAAGATATCCCAAGGATGCCCTGATAGATGGGAGTAGGTTCACGACAAAGATGGCATGTACTCAACTAAAACAACATACTCACTGTTAACAAGGGAACAAAGGAGATCAAATGGAACTACAATCTACAAAAGACTTTGGAATTCTATTCTATCGAGCAAAATATCAACATTCAACTGGCAACTATTGGTAGATAGAATACCAACTAAGGTGAACTTGTTAAGAAGAGGGATAGTTAAAGACATGGGAGAATGCAAGTGTGATATGTGTGATGAAGAAGAAAAGGATACTGCCCATCTATTCTTAAAATGCAAGATTGCTCGGTCATTGTGGGAAGCTTGTACTAAGTGGTGGGAGGCCAAGGTAACATTGGAAAGTGATCGCTGGAAGACATTCAAAATCTTTGGGGAATGGAACAAAGATCCAAGTATCAGAGAAGGATGGGACTGCATTTGGAGTGCGATTGTCTGGACAGTGTGGACTACTCGAAATCAGAAGGTATTCCAGGACAAGGAGATCAATCTAGGGAAACTACTTGAGCTCATACAAATGAGGTCTTATTTATGGATTAAAACAAAGAAAGATAGGTATGCCTTCATTTTATCAGATTGGCTAATTAACCCTGTTGCATGCATGAAAGATAACTGTGGGGGAAAGATGAATACTAGGGGATAGGTCGGATTGACAGGATTTATTTTGTAAAGGATGCTTGAATAGCGTATAACGGGCTGAGTACCCCTTGTACGCATTTTATTAATTAAAGTTCTGATTTGTTGTTCAAAAGTTCAAAAAAAAAAAAAAACTGTTAGTGACCAACGATAGCAATTTATATCATAATTAAGCGACTAAATTTTCGAACTTAAAAGGATAGTGACTAGGTTAAAAGTTATGATAAGGGTGAGTGACTATTCCTGTAGTTTACCCAAAGATATTTCCAATATGGCAATGCTATAATTGTAAGGTTATAATTATGATGTAATATTAAATGAGTATCATACCATTAAATCAATGGATAACTTTTTGTTGTTCTTAATGTTCATCCTCCTTTGTTCAATCTCCCTAACTTTTTATTCTGTATTCATATGGACTTTACGTTGAAAGTGGCAGTTTTCCTCACTTTGGCTTTTGTTTCATCTATACCAGTGCAGCCTGTTTCTGGAGTTAGCAACTCACAATTGTCAGGTAGGAAGAAAAGGGACTCGTATGGAAATGAGGATATTGTCACTAACTTGCCTGGCCAGCCAGCTGTAGACTTCCGGTATTACGCTGGTTATGTCAACGTGAATGAAAAGAATGGAAGAGACTCTTTTATTGGTTTTCTGAGGCTACAACTCGTCCTGATGAAAAACCACTAGTGCTGTGACTTAATGGAGGTAAGCACATACATCGTTGTTTAAACCATTATCAAATTGCTCTGTGCCTCTTTTAGCCATTGCATTGCAGCTTAACCGTTCTGGGGCTGGTCATGTTACCCTCCAGGTAGACTACATTGGAATCTGGTGGCCACAACAATCCAGATTATATATATTAGTTATCAAACATGTTGCACGCTTTTTATAAAATGAGAGTGATTGATACACACTTGATTTAACATATTGCACAATATACTCATTAAAAAATCATTATTTTTTACTTTGAAATTAAAGATAGATAAGTTTAAAAATATAATCATGCACATAAGATACAGTAACTAGCTGAATTGACTATATTTATGTTATATTTTTAATAATTGAATTGAAAGTATATTAGAAAATGTATTCAACTGAGGGTGTACAGATAATTTTTCTTTATAAAATCAACTCTTATGATTCGTAAAAAATTTAATCTCCTTGCAATGACACTAAACCAATCTTTTATCATATATTATAAATAATCTTTTGTTGGGGTTATTGTTTTTACCATCTCATAGTGGTGGTCCTTAATTGGCTTTCCTCATCCCCAATATTTCATTTTGTTCTTTTCATTCAATGTTGTTCATGTTGCAGGTCCTGGGTGCTCGTCCGTTGGATATGGAGCAACACAAGAGATTGGTCCTTTCCTAGTGGACATTGATGGAAATGGAATTAAGTTTAATAATTTCTCACGGAATAAAGGTCTAAAGTTCAGAACCTTTAATTACTCTCACTTGCATAAGTGTTCGTCATCCTTTTGCTAATTCTTTATTGCTGTTGTTATATTTATTGTTGTCACTACTACAGGCATATGTGTCATGCATCATCGATTAAACTATTTCTAGTTGGCTCCTGTGCGCCTTTTATGTTGCTCCCTGATTGCAAGAGCATATAAGAATTTTTAATATCTGTGATGGTGCAGAAGCTAACATGTTATTCCTGGAGTCTCCAATTGGGGTTGGCTTTTCATACACAAATACATCGACTGATTATGATAATCTAGGAGATGGCTTCACTGGTGAGTTGAATACAAACTTTTGACGCATTTAAATATTGATAATGTGCTGTTGGCTCAATTGTCTCTACTTTAAGGCATCCCCTCTAATGCTTACATGTATATATTTTTGCATAAATTGAAATGTGAGAACTTCTGACCTTCATCAGATAAGAAAAAGATCCCGAAATCAAACTGATTTATGTTTGTTTCTATTGTTTGGACTACTTACACTAGCAAATGATGCTTATACCTTCCTACATAAGTGGTTCCTCAAGTTCCCCTCATATAGAAGACGGACCTTTTACATCGCAGGGGAAAGCTATGCAGGTTCTTGTTATAATCTTCTGGTGCATAAATGTTATCAACTTACCCTTGTCTGCCAATTATTCTCATTGATATGTATTCACAGGAAAATATGTACCAGAGCTAGCTGAACTCACCATTGACAAGAACAATGATCCCTCCCCTTATATTGATTTGAAGGGTATTCTGATATGGGGTTTCTTTCTATTTTTTTTGGTCCCCCATCCCTAGCAATATTTTCCTATTCAATACATGATTCAGTGATGTACTAGAATATCCTTTTTGTCAACAGCTGGGAAATCCTGAAACATCTTCTGCTGAAGATTGGGAAGGAATAGTGGATTATGGTTGGAGTCATGCTGTGATATCTGATGAAACACATAGAATAATCAGTGAAAACTGTGACTTTAACAGCAGTGATACATGGAGCAATCCACATTGTAAGGAAGCTGTGGATGAATTATTCAAACAGTATAAGGAGATTGATATCTACAGTTTATACACCCCAGTTTGCGTTGGTTCAGATAATAAGTCAATGAAAGTTGTAATGAAGCAAGCGTCCAACATGGTGATCATTTATTCACCTCTGTAGCTTACATATATTATATAACAAGTAGGAGAAATTCTTTAAATATTCCCAAGCTGCATGCCTCATATATACTTATTAAGTAGTCAAATACGGAAGGCACTGAAGCCAATTCATTTGTCATTTATTCATTTTTATTTCTTTAAGTCATATTATGGTATTGCCATTAACTTGTGTGACAGTTTTTGTTCAAGTTATAAAAATTTCATGAATTTTTCTAACCAGTTGCCCAGGATCCTGGGAGGTTATGATCCATGCATGGATAATTATGCAAAAGCTTTCTACAATAGACCCGATATTCAAGAGGCACTCCATGTTAGCAATGGTCACCAGCTCAGAAACTGGAGCATATGCAAGTAAGGAGTTTCACCGTAAAGTGAAGTGATGAATCTGGTTTTATGATCCTAAGCAAACAGTTTCATTATGCTTTTTCCTGTACAGTCAGACTATGTTTAACAATTGGTCAGAATCAGATTCAGAAAACTCTGTTCTTCCAATATACAAAAAGCTTATTGCAGTTGGAGTTAGAATATGGGTCTACAGGTACTTCGTGCTTTGCATTTGCATGGTGGCTTTTTCTTGATCTTATTGATTTATTTATTTATTTTTTCCTGAGTGGCTCAGTGGAGACACAGATGGAAGGGTTCCTGTTTTGTGCACACGGTACAGCTTAAGCTCCTTGGGACTGCCTGTTCTTCGGGCATGGAGACCCCCGTACCACCAGAAGCAGGTATTAATGATGATTTACAAACATGGAAATTAAACAAACAATTATCTAATTTCAGATTAAAAAATATCACATGCATCTTTCGCTAATCCAAATGGCATTTTCCTTGGGGGACACAGGTCAGTGGTTGGCTTCAAGAATACAAAGGGCTAACTTTTGCAACATTTAGAGGGGCTGGGCATGCAGTGCCCTGCTTCAAACCAAGCAGCTCACTTGCATTCTTCAAATCCTTTCTCCTTGGAAAATCTCCACCTTCATCTCGATAATCCGTTTAGTTAACTGATCCTCAAGGATTGTGCTTCTATAGGTAATAGGGTCTTATGTGAGTGTTGTTCTCCCATCGAAAATAGTTTCCTTAACTTACTGTGTTTGCTTATGGAAATCATATGAATTTTCTGTATGTGGTGTCTTAGAATACATTATAGACTTGCAAAATACGAGGAGGCAATAAAACAGTTGGTCTGTCGAATACCACTTTTTGGGTGACATATGCTTTATCGTGAGACATTAAATAGCCCATCACATGTTTCAACACCATATTGTAACCAGAAAATTAGTCCTGTAGTTGCATGGGTCTTTATATATTTAAGCCATTCTTTCTTTTTATATTTGTTCAATGTGGGACTCAAATTCTTCACACTGACAAGGGAACAACATATTTCAACACAATCCCTTGAAAGGAGAAGCTGATCACTTCACTAGGGTCTTTGGTTAGGATTTCCATTTTTCTTATTGCATAGATATTGAAGAAAACAAGGGTACATGACATTCATTGAGAACATTATTGCTCAAGAGATATACTACTTTTGCGATGTTACATCTAGTAAATACTGTTTCAAACTAAAGACAGTTTAAATTTTGGTTGCATGAACAAAATATCACATCCACGCCTTGATATTGGCGAGAAAAGTCTGGCTATGACTCTCCTGCTGTGATATTTGGAGTGCTGACCAAATTCATAGTTGATTATTCTATGTTCTTTTGAACCAGAATAAGAAGCAACAGGCTTCTTTGTCAATACCTTTGATGTTCTTCCAACATGTAGAGGACTATAGATTGCTTGTTGAATGTCTTTAAGCATTTTTGTGTCCTCTTTATCATATCGGTTGCTTGAATGGAAGAACATCGCAAATACTTTCAGGCATGATAGATGAAGCTGCTTGCAATGTTTTGGCAGATC